ATTTTTATTTTAACATTATTGACACATGAATGCTTTTGATTGATTAATTAATTAAATTAAAGTCAACATTTATATTTTAATATGAATTAATTGTAAAAATTTGTATTAATTACATCATTAATATGTACTCTTAGGATTAGAAAAATCAAATAATTAATGAGAAAATAGTATAATAAATACACTAACTTGTATCTTATAAGTTAGAAAATTCCATTTTTTATAATTATTGAAAAATTCATTTGATACAGCAATTTATCCTTATTTTGCCATTTTAATTTGGAATTGAGAAAAATCAAGATGTCTTATCGATTAAAATGTTAAGATTTAATGTACAAGATAGATTTATTAAAAATATTTGAATAATTTCATTGGTAGTTTAAGTATTTAAAATGTTAACACATTCTCATTTTCATTTTTTTATTTTACTTTTAATCACAATTAAACAAAAAAAAACCACCAACAAACTAAGCCGCATTAGAGATTCTAAATTCAAGTGATAGGTATGTGAGTGGGATGAGTAAAGAACCAAAAGAAAGTTATCTCTAATTTTGCAACCCAAAATAAATTAAATTAAAAAAAAAAACCAAAAAAATCTCTATTGCATCTCTTTTTAATCCTAGATAAGAGTAACACTAGAATAGTAGTATTTATTTTTAAAAAAAATAAAAAGTGAGATAATTAATTTTAATTATTATTATTATTTAACAAGCGGGACACTTAAATCAGACTAAAAAAAGAGGAATTTCAATTTTCAAAGAGAAACTAAAGCTTCAATTGCATACTTTGAAGGGTAGATGTCCCATATAACATTGCTTCACATTGATTTCATTTCTTGTTTTTGTTTTTTATTAACAGATAAGTGCTCAAAGGAGAGTGTTACAATCATGTTCTAACTCTCATCCTTAATATGGACCTATATCAAATTTAGTTTCTTAAGGTGACTGCATCGTCATGCTCTTTTATGTGAGTGAATTAGGTTAAAGAATAATAAATAGTTACTTTTCATTGTACAATTTAAAATAAATAAATAAATAAAAGCCTAACTCTTATAAAAGTCAATTTTTCAAGTTTTTCTAAGGACTCAATACATTGATTATTATCATAGCATATAAGTATTTGAATATTTGACGCAATTAATATCACAAGGATTAATATTGCGTGATAAGGATAATGGGTATGACCATTAAAATCATTTTCCTACCAAAATAACGTGCAGTAATTTAAGTGGCTACAATATGTTTGGATTGAGGAAAAGAGAAAAAAAAAATCTATTCGGTTATTAAAAAAATTAGAGGGGAGAGGAGAAAAAAAAATTTTTACTTTATTTTTTCTTTTAATTTTGTTACTTATCTAAATAAGGATTGATAAAAGCAAAAAACTTATGCCAAATGAAGGAAAAAAAAAAAAGATAAGAAGAATAAAGTGCAATGAAAGGATATAATAATTGGTTGATCAGGCAACTGTATATTCGTAGCAAAATTTATTCGGCCAACTCTAAGTCTCTAGTCGGTTCACATTGACCAATTTCGTGTCCCTAAAAAATTATTAATACATGTGACATGTTCCCTATTTAAATGTTGAAAGAGAAAAAATAATAAAGGACAAGTCTAATTATTGGACATGTAATCTTGCCTATGGAAATGCAGTTTGATATGCCACTTCAATTATTTATGTTGTGAAAGTTCAATGCCACATAAAGTTTCTGGTTCCCTTTGGTCTAGTCAAGTGGTTTTTTAAAAATATTTTTTACTATATACTTCGAGTTTTGTAAAAGTAATATATTGAAATATATAAATAATTTTTAAAAGTGATTATTAAAATAAAAGATTAACCACATGATAAACTCTACTTCTATCTCATTTTTGATGTATAATAAAGGTCAATGAAACATTGATATTGTAGTTGAACTCCCCCATGCGACCCACTGGTTGAATCGTGCTCTTCTATAAGGAGTAGGTGGAGATCACCCACGTTCGAGTCTCTCCGCGTTCTAAATATATACTAACTTCTAACCATTGTTTCCATTGTCAAAAAAAAAAAAAAAAAAAAAAACATTGATATGGTAGTTAGGGACCTAGCTTCTAATCTTTCTTCATTTGGATATACTAAGAGATCTCTAGGTGTTTATGTTTAACAAATTCTATCACAATTTAAAAATGATATTTTTTAACCTATGCTTTTTTTAAAAGTGAATTTATTGCATTTTTACTATTAATTTATATAAAAAATAAAAGTTGAATTTAATTTTATCAATCGTTCAATTAAAATATTTCATGTAATATTAGTATTGAAAATAAAATTTATTTTCATAATTTTCATATAAATTAACAATAAAAAGTGTAATAAATGCATCTTTAATTTAGACATTAAGAACACGTGATAAAATAAACATTTAAAAATATGGTAGAGAAAATTTTTGAATTTATCTTTAAGGTAGCTTAAAAGTAAATTCTTAAATATTAAGATTTATAACTTCTTTTAGAATTTACTTTTAAATCACTAGAAAGGTAAATTTCAAATTTTACTTTTAATAAATTTTTTAATTTGTAAGAGAAGTAAAAAAAAA